CGGGGTTTCACCATGTTGACCAGGATGGTCTCGATCTCTTGACCTCGTGATCCACCCGCCTCGGCCTCCCAAAGTGCTGGGATTACAGGCTTGAGCCACTGCGCCCGGCCTGGTAATAATAGTTATAACAAAGACACCCCAAAATTGCTGAGTGTGGTGGTGCCTGCCTGTAGTCCTAGCCACTTAGGAGGCTGAGGTGGGAGGTCCCCTTGAGTCCAGGAGTTTGAGGCTTCAGTGAGCTAAGATCACCGCTGCACTCCAGCCTGGACACCAGACCAAGATCCCGTCTCTTAATTAAAAGAAATGCAGTGGCTCTGATAAACTTAGCATATGTCTCATACATCTGTCCTATGCTTCCCATGCAGTATTTCAAGGACCTAACCTCACAGTATGTTGCCAGTTTGAAAGCATGGCTTCCATGATAAGTTGCCTTCATTTTTGCCAGTATGAAGGGAAGAGTTACGGAAGTCCAAGCCCTTTTAGGCAAATAAGGTGAAGCTACATATAGCTGCAAGAGGTGGTGGGAAGCATGGTTCCTACTTAAAACAACCACCAGCTCCAGTTTTTTTTTTTTTTTTTTTTTTGAGTCGGAGTTTCACTCTTGTTGCCCAGGCTGTAGTGCAGTGGCACGATCTCAGCTCACTGAAACCTCTGCCTCCTGGGTTCAGGCGATTATCATGCCTCAGCCTCCCAAGTAGCTGGAATTAGGCATGTGCCACTATGCCTGGCTAATTTTGTATTTTTAGTAGAGACGGGTTTTTCTCCATGTTGGTCAGGCTGATCTCGAACTCCCGACCTCAGGTGATCTACCCACCTCGGCCTCCCTAAGTGCTGGGATTACAGCTGTGAGCCACCGCGCCCAGCCCCAGGTCCAGTTACTACTATGGAGGGAGAGAATGGTTTTAGTGGCAGTCTCTGCCACATCTCTGTAGGTAAAGGTTTGTAGGTGGAGACTGGGGTGGAATGAAGAAGCAGGCATACTTACAGATTACCTGAAACCAAATTGAGGTTTATGAAGCTAAATTATTACTAGCTACCTTTAACAAAAATTGTTAATTCACTAAAGATTTGAATATCATCTTTGAGCCAAGCACTATTTGGGGTAACCATTCTGGGTACACTAGACTACTTCCTGGTTTATAGTCTAGTGAAAGGTTGGACAAGTGAAGAGTTTATACAATATGAAAGGCCAGGTGCGGCCGGGCGTGGTGGCTCAAGCCTGTAATCCCAGCACTTTGGGAGGCCGAGGCGGGTGGATCACAAGGTCAAGAGATCGAGACCATCCTGGTCAACA